TTAGGGACGGCTAGCGCAGATAGCCCTCGTGTAGCTTTGCGCGAAATTCAAAAACAAACAAACTAAACTTTAAATCACGAATCTAATAGAACTAAGCGAAAAGTTATTTTTTATCAACTCTATTTACTTATGATGGATAGTATCTAAAACACTATTGTCTTATTATAAAGCTAACTTAAGGTGTCATTCATATGTATAAAGCATGAAAAACATGTTTTTATGAAACCAACACAGTAAGTTCAATCTTTCAAGTGTCATCTCAAAGTAAAGAAACTGTTAAAATATCAAACTATTAATACAAAAAAAATTCTCTTCACACGCAAAACAAACTGATGACAACAAAATGCCCTAAAGAGCTGATTATGATGAATTGCATACAGTTAAGAAGCGATCAACCATCAGACTCGACCTAATAGTAGAAATACAAATAAAATATTGTCAAAATTGAACGGTACATAAAGCAGGAAAAAAATAAAAACAGCAGCAACCAACCATAATAAGCACACTTATAAGTACGAGATTTGGGTTCGGGTTAGCCAACTTGTACATTAATATATTTTAAAAGATACCTCACTTACGTAGGTTTTCAAAAGTGTTCAAGTATTGTAAAAATTTGAGTCTGAAATGACGTATTTAATCAACTTAAACTTATAAAGTGGTATCACATGTTAATGTAACTTAAATCAAACATCAGATACAAGTTAAAATAGATTCATTTGGTGGATATCCTAACTTCATACAAAAGAGAATTACCACTGATATAACAACCTGTTCAATTACTGATGTTTTTCTACAGTTGGACGTTTTGAAATAAACTTTTTCCGTCTTCAGCATTTCACACGTGTAAAGACAAGACTAAATATTGTAAGCAATAATGAAAAAAAATAGTTCAAAGATACAAGAAAACAAAAAACATATACATCTCACACATCAATAGAATACAGAGCATATATAGACTGTGATATCTTAATCGAAATCTATCCTATTACAGAAATAACTAATACGTAAACGACTGTAAAGACACTAGCGTCAACTACAAGTGAGATCAAAATCGGCAGCACATGCGAATAAAGAAAATAATCTATTATAATCAATCATACTGCATTCGAGTTGCAAGTTGAATGCAGTTGTGATTGATTACGAAATATATCTTCATTATTGGCACGTATATATATATATATATATATAAAGTGCATATGCACGTACATACATATGCGAAAAAATTTAGTATTCGAATAATTCGTTTTTTTTTATTATTATTTGTGGTGTTGGCTATTTTGTAGCTTAAATACTTCATTTCAACTACTCCAATTGTACAACAGCTAACCAGATCTTACAAGTAAGCCATTAGCAAAGGACAAAATTCATAACAAAAATCTAAAATGTTTTAAAATATTTGTCTTTCAATTAAAATATAAGAATATCATTGAAATTGAATATGAAAAACTACAAAAATAGAGAGTTATAGGAACTACAATGGCACCAACTCTACAATATTATTAAAGGGAGATTTTTAGAAGAAACAAAACCCCAAACTGTGATAAACCAAATAATGGGTTGTGAGGTAAGATTGTTTCATACTCCGAGAAAATACGTTTAAGGTTTAGGTTTGTCTATATTTTGGGAGAGTTAATTTTACTTTTGAAAATACTGAAACCAAAATTATAATTTTTAGCTATATTATCAGGGATATCAGGAAAATGGTTTTTAGAAACGAAAGTTTATTCTTATAAACTGACTAATTCTCACGCTGATTTAGAATTTAATAGTGACCATCCAAGACAAATTAGGTCAGGCGTGGCCTAGTGATTGGCATGCCAGAACTATAAATCTCAGGATTTCCGGATCGCGTCCTCTTGCCATAAAAACACGCTTTGAGACTGTGGTTGCTGCCTATCAGTTCAGCTTTAGTGTCGGCTATGTTCAAATAGTCTTTGTGTACTTTTGTGGGAAATTTAAGAAAAACAAACACAATGCATATTAAAAGAAATAAAAGGTTAAATGAACTAAAATATTTTTTATTAAATCGAGTTTATCCAAATAATATTATAGGTAATATTCTTTTCGCCCAGTTATATGGCTCACAAATTCAAAGTAGCCTAATATTTTACCTATGGTAGTCGCTATGCATTCCTGTGGTGCACGTACGAACATAAATAGGTGTAAGACTCTTGTTTCAAAGAGTTAAAAAAACAACTACAAGTGAAACGCATATATTAGTAGTTTATCGAAAGTTAAAGAATTTACTTTGTTATAGACAGAGTAACTGTGATATAACATGTGGTATTACTCAATGTAAATAAACATCTTAGTGCCAGCTCTATTATAATACTAATACTCACCTTGGTGCATTAATAACGTTTGAAATTAAAATACATCTTGTAATTTAAAAAAAAAGTATTTATATTGTAATATTTCCGGTATGTCATGAAAGTCATACCAGTAAAAAGTAGGACTTTAGTTTAAAAATGAATCGTCACAAGCAATGCATTTCACTTATAAATGTTCTGATCACTTTAACAATCATATCATCAAAATCCCCTTTTTTTATTTTGTGTTGTTGTTGTTTTATTCTGCGAGCACTTGGTAAAAAAAAACATTTTGTGAAAGCTATGTTTATAAAGGCTTTTAAATTTTATGTAAATATTTCTTTCTTATGTATTTTATGTAACTGGTTTTGTTTTCAACGTTATTTTTATACATTTTGCTTATGTCTTATTTTTAGAGAATTTGATTGCCTTATCATAATTTAGTTGGTTGGATGAGAAGTATCACATGAGCTACGAAGATGCTATTAACCATCATATAAAACCAGAAACATTCCAGAACTATTGTTTATACTGAGTAGTTTTTTCATATAATGCACGTTTACGCAATTTAATTTTGCATATCTTTATCAAATATATATATATATATATATATATATATATATA